TTTCATTTTTATTTAGTTCTATATTTCATTTCTAATGAAAAATTAACTTCTTCTTCTTTGTCTTATTGACTGACACTGTATATCCAAATTACAAATTTGGCTTGTCGGCGTGTGGTATCTGCGAGTTAGAGTGAAAGAGTTACTTATAATATTAACATAATTTTGAATGACTATTTCTTAATATATTTCTGTACTGACTTAAAAGTAGTCTACTTCTTTCATTTCAACACTATATATATATATATATATATATATATATATATATGAAAAAACTCATTAAGTTAAAGTTATATATAAACTTGTATTTTTAAGAATAACATGATCTAAAAAATTATATATCATGAGTTTTTTATTTTTTTTATTAAGTCAAATATAATTATAGTTATATGTAATATTTCATTTTAGTAGAATATATCTACTAAAATAAAACATTACATAGATGATAATTTATCAGAAACTACATACTATCGATGAAGAAGATCTTACACTTAAAAAATAAAACTCTATCTATGTTGATGTTTCCCTCTCAACTTCATACTAAAACGACTGAAAAGACGTCCTCCCTGAACTCACATCATTTTAAAGTGATCATTGCAAAAGAGAAAACACACAAACAAACAAAGACAAAAGTAAGGGTAAGCTAGATATAAGTCATACAACATTTATAACATAGCATACATGAATCATATATATATATATATATATATATATATATATATATATATATAACATACATCAACCCAAACATCTTAACATACAAGGACCTAGACTGACTATTTGGATATAGTATGAATGTCGAATTATGGTGGTTCATGCACTTGTAGTGGTCTTTACTGCTCTGTAGAACCATTGTTAATGAGTTTCACCCTACACACTCACAAGATTATCCTCAAACGTCATTTTGCCAAATGAAGAAAGGCCCCTATAGGTTAAGACCTTTCTGCTACTCTCCACGACATAATCATCATCTCTACTTGGTGATTTATATTAGAGAGCTTCAGGATAAACCTCCAATACTTAACTCCAATCATTCATACAAACATAATACAGGGCACCACCATGTAACCTCTCCACGAGGATCATGAAATTACGTCATCAATATCATGCACATAATCAATCACATATATCTATCATCATCATATCCCTCTCATAATCATATATATATATATATATATATATATATATATATATATACATATACTTCATACCAACATTACATAATATCACATGAAACCTCAAAACCTTCATCACATAATCATAAACAATCCCATCAAGTATCATAAAATAGTTAATAAAATTGATTCTCTATTGTAAAATAAAAATTGATAATAAGATTTCTTAGGATCATAAGAGAACAATGAACTACCTAGATCATATGTGTACAAGTGAATTTAGTTTAGATTAGTCAAAATTTTACATTACTGATAGTAATAATCGATTAAATTGGTAATATAATCTATTAAGGCAAGCCAGAACTCAGATAAAGCAAAACATAACAAAACTACCTATTTTAATCTATTATGTCAGTAACATGATCGATTAGACTAAAGTGTTTGTTTTAATCGATTAAGTTAGTTCAATTAGGCTAAATTGTCTATTTTAATCGATTAAGTTAGTGTCATAATTGATTAAAACAGAAAATATGGCTAAAACAATTTTTATGACTTTGGACACTTTCCTCACAACTTTAATTTATCCATAGGACCCTCCAGAACTGAGAAACCTCAGAAAATATATACCACTATAACTCAAATTGACTATTCCAAACCCAAATTCACCTTTTTAAGCTACCTAAAACCACTTTTGCGCTTTCTAACACTCATATCAGTCAACCAATTGCATGAACAAGACTTAATACACTATATAGCACACCCCAACACCTTAAATTACTCTCAACCTTTCTATTTCAAGTTCTCACTAAACCTCAAAATTTATCTAAAAAGAATAAAAGGACTTACCCTATCATACAATTAACACTTCTACACCAGATTTTACTAATTTAAATGTCTAGACAAGTCATAATAGGTCTCATAACATACTTCTAACTTCCCAAAACAGTTTCCACCCCTTACCTCACAATCTCACTACTCAAAACTCCAATTTTACACTAAAAACACCCCCAAAACCCCAATAATGAACTACCTCTAATTCCATATCAGATTTCAATTGAATAATCACTCTAGCAAGTTTCAAATGATTATGATAATATCTTTTTGCTTTATTGATTTGCACGAATACCAAGAACAAAATATACAAGCATCGAAGTACTTTTTCGTACATGCATTAAATGTTTTGAACATTGATAAACGTTAAATAGTGTAGCGCTTTCAAAACATTTCATCATTTGTCATTTCATTCATAAATGAATTGTTTGGTTAGATATACAACATGCATAATCATCATATGGTATAAACATGTGATGCTTTTTCAAAGGTTATAGCATTTAGTGGTCATTTAGACGTTGTTTTCTTTTAGAAAGATTTGCTTTATATAACACTTGTATTAAATAAATATTTCTTTTAACTTTAATGTTATATAAGTATATAAGACGCTAACTTATTTTGTTCATATAATATATTAGATAAATTCAATGAGAGATACTTTCTTTCATACGCTGTTTATGATTTTCTAATTCATTTAAACAGTTTTGTCTAAAAACATTATTTATAATATTGGCTTCAAACGTTATATAATTTCTTCATTAGACTCTACTATTTTAAACAACTTTTCATATACAACAATATTTCGTTTAATATTTTTTGTTAAACTTCAAAACTTGGGTTTATTAGACAGTCTATTCTCTAGATGATATTTTGTCTTAATGAAGAGTGGTCTTGAGATGCATCTTGAAGAAGGTGAGGCCAACCAACAAGTCTAAACGTAAGGAGAAGTCTTAGTAGAAGACAATCCTAATGAACCTAAAAGAAGAGGTAATGCAATTTAGCATAAATTCTCTAATGTATTTTCCAAGTTGTTTTCACAAATGGTAGAGCACTCCTTTTATATGATGTAGAGTGACTCTTAAGAAGGAACTAGAGTACATGAACCTAGATACATTGAACGAAAAAAGGTTCTTGAAGCTTTTAATGTCCAAGTGCAATGAATAAGAACCTTTTCCCTTGAATCTTCTTCCAAGTACATGCATGGGAGCCTTCTCCGTCCTTCTAGAAGGTAAGCAAGCCAAAAGAGGCGTTGTTGCACTCCAAAGGCCCAAATTGACACTACAAGCACAAGAACTAGCCCAATTCACAACATTCTGGCAATTATGACCTTTGCTAACTGTTTTACTCATAACTTTCTCTACAAAACTCTAAATGAGATGATTGTTTTTTGTTGGAAACTAAACTCATAGGGCTTTCAGCTGACTATAAACACGTATTTTTTGAACCTATAAGCTAAATGCAGTTAAATGTGCAAAATCGTCGATGTTTACTAAGCTCTCTGGATGGGTAGGTCCTTAGCCCAAATATAAGGCCTAAAGAAGACATATGTACAATTTTACAAAGCTTAAGAGAATGGTAAAACCAAGCTTGAAACACCATCTTCCACAAGATTAGAAGTCATTGAAGTCCTTCTTCTTCTTCCATTCTCTTAGCCTTGGTTTAAGCTATAACTACTTAGATGGATCTTCGTCAAGCTCCCTAGATAGATTTTCTTCACTGCATCCCCAATTTCTACCTTCATCTATACTAAACATTTACTAATTGAAGAAATATAAACGAAAATGAAAGTACCTTTGACGATTAAAGTTGATTGTTGAGGAAGATAGTTATGGAAGAGAGGAAGATAGAAACTATGTTGGTGCAAGGGTAGGGTGGAGACAAAAGCAAGATGAAGGAGGAAGGGTTGCAACTAGGTTTAGGTTAAAAAAGGTGTAAGAGTAGAAGTGGGTGAGTGAGGTAATTAAAGGAGAGAAAAAACAAAATTTTACCTTATGAGAAGGGTAATTTAAGTATTTACAAAACTTTGGAAATGTATGAAGAAAACTTGAAAGTGCAAGAAGAAGCCTCCTAACATATCATTGTTATATCATTGTTGATAAGTACATACACAAGGGTCTTTATTAGGCTACATTTCGCCTGATCTAATATAATTGAATTTAATTTATAATTGGGTTAAACTCCACACATTCAAAATTAATCATTTTAGTAAGAATTAAATTATGAATTTAGTATGTGTGATCCAAGATTCCACCTGAAATTATTCAAATTGTGCTTTTTTTTTCTTAAATTTGTTTATATAAATTTATTATGAGTTGATTTACTATATTAATTAAAGTTTTCAATTAAATTTTGATAAATATTGTCCTATTTTTTTAATTAAGCTGATACTTAAAACATAACAATTTTTAACATAAAAGTTTTTCAAAATCTTAAATCAATCCAGTTCAACATGCTTAAGTAAGAGTAATTTGAGTTAAATTAAGTTTAATATAAAAAATGCAGAAACTACAAGGTATCCCATATTTATTTTACGGAATCAGATAATATTTTTTTTAAAAATAAAATTAGACAACCCAACCCAAGAACCCCACTGAGATAGAATTAGTGGGCCTCATATATATACACCTACTTGAAGGCTATGGAAAAGAAAATCAAATTTCAAAAGAATTTATTCCCATGCTTTACCGTTCCTTTATCTATGATAGAGTCAATTTAATCATCAATTTTATATTTAATAGAACATTTGCCAAATACAACGTTGCTCATAAATGCCTAAAATGTATATTTTCTTTTATTCTTTCATTCTTAGCTTGTCAATGTCATGTTTTCTACAATTATACAGTTCTGTTATTTGTACTTTCTTTTTATTTCAATGTAGGAAAATGATTTTTTTTTTAACGTACTTAATCACTTGACCATTCACTTTTATAGGTAAAATAATTATTAAAAAAATAAATTTTTGTATTTATAAAAAAATTAAAAAGCAAAAAATAGGATGGAAATATTTCTATGATTGTCAAAATAACAGGGTCGTTCAATGTAATCTGTGCCTCTCGTTTCGCTCTTTCATTATCAAAGTCCACTCGCGCCACCATTCAAACTCAGTTCCATCCATCACATACAAAATCTACTGTTCTCTGTTTTTTTTTTTTTTCGTTTCATTCTGCCTTCGGTCCCAACAACTTGCGGATAATGTTTACCTATTTCATTCTACATCTTATGATGTGATCATCAAATAACCAACAAAGCAGTGATTTGTTTAAAACTGATGAAGGGCACATACGTTTCACTTCTCAAAAGCTGCAAATCCATGTTCCAATTGAAGCAAATTCAGGCCCACATATTCAGTGTTGGCCTTCAACAAGATAGAGACACCCTTAACAAGCTCATGGCCTTTTCCATGGACTCATCACTAGGGGATTTTAACCATGCAAACAGAATCTTCAAATACATTCATACCCCCTCTTTGTTTATCTATAACCTCATGATCAAGGCCTTTGTGAAAAGGGGTAGTTTTAGGAGTGCCCTTTCTCTGTTTCAGCAACTTAGGGAACATGGTGTGTGGCCTGATAACTACACCTACCCTTATGTCTTGAAGGGTATTGGTTGCATTGGGGAGGTTGGGGAAGGAAAAAAGGTTCATGCTTTTGTGGTTAAGACTGGCCTTGAGTTTGACGCTTATGTGGGTAACTCGTTGATGGACATGTATGCAGAGTTGGGCCTGGTTGACGGCTTCACGCAGGTGTTTGAGGAAATGCCTGAGAGGGATACGGTTTCTTGGAACATCATGATTTCGGGTTATGTCAGGTGCAAGAAGTTCCAGGAGGCAGTGGATGTTTACCGGCGAATGCGAAAGGAGAGCAATGAAAAGCCTAATGAAGCCACGGTTGTGAGCAGTCTGTCCGCGTGTACGGTGTTGAGAAATTTGGAGCTTGGTAAGGAAATTCACTATTACATTGTGAATGAACTGGATTTTACTACTGTAATGGGGAATGCTTTGTTAGACATGTATTGTAAGTGTGGGCATGTGAGCGTGGCCCAGCAGATTTTCGATGCAATGACCGTTAAGAATGTGAATTGTTGGACCAGCATGGTAAACGGGTATGTGACCTGTGGTTTGTTGGATCGAGCTCGAGATTATTTTGAGAGGAGTCCAAGTAGGGATATTGTTCTTTGGACAGCTATGATTAATGGGTATGTGCAGTTTAATCGTTTTGAAGAGGCAATTGCATTGTTTGGGGAGATGCAGATGAGAGGTGTGAAACCGGATAACTTCATTGTGGTTACTCTTCTTACGGGTTGTGCTGAATCGGGAGCTCTAGAGCAAGGCAAGTGGATTCATAATTACATAGATGAAAACAGAATCCTAGTGGATGTTGTGGTTGGTACTGCCCTTATTGAAATGTATGCTAAATGCGGTTGCATAGATGTAGCTTTGGAGATTTTTTATGGATTGAAGGAAAAGGACACTGCCTCATGGACTGCAATTATATGTGGGCTGGCCATGAATGGTAAAACAAGTAAAGCACTTGAGTTATTTGAAGCAATGCAAGTGTGTGGGTTTAAACCTGATAATGTTACCTTCATTGCTGTTTTAAGTGCTTGTACACATGCAGGATTGGTTGAAGAAGGCAGAAAGTTATTTCATTCCATGTCAAGTGTGTATCACATTGAGCCAAATTTAGAGCACTATGGGTGTTTCATTGACCTTCTTGGTCGAGCCGGACTGTTACAAGAGGCAGAAGAGTTGGTAAGGATGTTACCAGATGAAAACAATGAAATAATAGTTCCACTCTATGGAGCTTTGCTAAGTGCCTGCAGAACTTATAGTAACATTGATATGGGTGAAAGGCTTGCTACAGCACTGGCGAAAGTTAAATCAAGCGATTCAACTCCTCACACACTTCTTGCTAGCATTTATGCCTCTGCTGACAGATGGGAAGATGTGAGAAAGGTGAGAAGTAAGATGAAAGATATGGGAATCAAAAAGGTACCAGGATATAGTGCCATTGAGGTGGATGGAATGTGGCAACAGAGGTTGAGTCATGAGTGAGGCCCTTTCCCATATCTGGACCAAAATTGGTCTTGCGAAAGTAGAGACGTAATCAACAATTGATTTACAATCTTTTAGTTTGAATCGTGATTTCTTAAAATGTAAAAGCAATATGGAAGTTTCACATTCAAATGTTTTATTTTTACCATGGAACTCTTCAGTTCAGTGAATTTTGCATACAATCGCAGAATACACAATGTTTCATGTTTATGGACTATGGAGGAAAATGAATGGCTACTATCTTTTTGGCTGGTTGGAGAACTAAAACGAATGACTTCCTGTCTTACTCGTAAGAGAATCTGATGTATAAGGCAAAAGTGGTGGGTTTGAACATCGGTTGCTATTGATTTATATGTCACTCTTCTTGCTTGGAGTAAGACTATGTCCTAATGTTAGCTTGTATACTCGGCAATACCATCCTCAGTTCCACATTGGCATTGTAACACAGGTCTCTCTTTATATGATTCAGAATTACAGTTTATTTCAACAGCGCCAAGTATCGTTTCTTCATCCTCTGTTCTCAAGAACGGCTCCAACATAAACCTCACAAATCTTTAGTTTGAACAACATTTTCTATTTTAATTTTTAACTATAACATTGTCACGAAGGTTTTAAACAGTGCACTATTGTTGCGTAGCCACAACGGAGCCCAAAGCTGCTAAATGGGCCATCATAAATAGTCTTATAATTTAAGGTAGAATCATTTTTAATATATTATGCTGTAAGGCTAGAAAGCTAGAAAGTATAATAATAACACGTAGAGAACCGAATTCCTATGATTAAGGAATATCCTCATCATATACTCTAATTATAATATGCTAAATAAGGAAACAATAAAACACAAACTTGACCGAAATAATACAGCTAATAAAACATATTCTAACATTCCTCTCGTGAGCATGTATTTTCCATTTCGCATAAAGCTAAAGAGACGAAGTTTTGATAATGTCTCAAAGTTAAGTCTTAAGTGTTCTTATTACAAGAAGATCTTCATGAAGACTTGTCTTGGATTAAAGTTTTTGTAATTTAGTAGATTTATGTATATGATGTAGTTTATCTTTGATGATTCTATGTATTCTTTGTCTTAGATTGTGTTAAAATGCGTTTTGAATTAGAAAAATTAAGCAAGTTTTTTTTTAACATTGTACATTCATTAAATGCATAATCAATTACCATAAGTGGATAATTGATTTTGACAGGTTAATTACTTGAGAACGAATTTTTGGAGGTATGCATAATCAATTACCATAAGTGGATAATTGAGTTTGACAAGTTAATTAGTTGACAACGGATTTTTGTTGGAAGTATCATTGGGTGAGATCTCTTAGATTCATACTTATTCTAAAGTACAACATACGAAATACATTTATTTCGAAATTCTTATTCTTATGTGTTACATGTGATGATTAGTGTTCTAAGGTTTGTGTAACCTTTGTGTTGTGGCGTTAAGAACTTGGCGTGTTGGCATAGAGCGAGAACTTTCACTGAGAGTGTGATTTAATGTTGTTGTTGTTGAAAGTCTATCATCCTTTGTGAAGATTCAAAGGAGGTGTTCATCTTTGGTGAAGCATTCAGAGAAGATGTTCATCCCTTGTGGGTTTTAGGGGAAGTGAGTTTCATTTCTTGGGGTAACAAGATATATATTCTAACCTTCAACTTCTTCTTTGTGATTGTAACAGTTTGTTGGTTTTCTTTGTGATTGTAACAATTTGTTGGTTGTGATCCAAACCAATATAAAAATTATCTAAACAATTTTCTCTCTTCCTTACTCTTTAAATTTGTTTAAATTATTTTAAGAAAAATTTATATTTACAAGAAAATTATTAAAAGAATGATTGTTGATGGCTAAATTGTATTAAACTTTTAAAGCACGTGAGTTCAAAGATTTGACGTTTAGGAAAGAAATTGAATATACTAATAAGTTTAGGAAAGAAATTGAATATACTAATAATGTTACTATTAGTAGGATTAAGAACAGTAAAGTATAACCCTAATGTTTGTTTCTTCCTTAATTTTATATATGTTTTTAGGGACGTTGCATATGTTTGATAATACTAGTTAAGATATTTACTTAATTAGGATTCCAGATAATATAATGATGTTTTAACATTCTTATTCTTGATTAAACAAAACTTTTGAATTAATGGAAACTTACATAATTTTTTCTTACAGATCAAATCTAACGCTTCCAAAGCTTGCAAATCCAACCTTCAAGAGTGTTGCTCAAACTTATTTCCAAGTTGAAGAGGAGAAACCAATTTCTAGTTTCGCACATAACCTTACAATGTTTAGATAACACGAGATGTGAATTAAGCACAGCTTGATACTCAATTTCTGTACATAACATAACATTACACAATAGCAAAGTCTCTTATCTCACCAAATGAGAGAGGGCCAATGGGCAACTCTAAGGCAAACCCAAAGTAAAAATCATACAACTTCAGAGCTAATGTGCTAATTGTCTACTTTTATAGAACCATGTATAAACCAAATTATATTTGAGTAAACAAAAACAGAATATGGAAATTTCCTTTCGAAACTCATACACAGTAAAACAATAGGCACAACACTTTGCTCGTACGAACGATCAAGAATGAACTCAACCTGTACCCATGATTTTCTCCAAGATCACCATGACATCTAGCATGGTTTTGTTACTTTGCAGAACAGCTTTGGCATTTCACATACAGCATAGCAGAGTGTGGCAAAGAAGGGATACTTCAACATCGAATCTATGCCAGATTCACCTTTTATGACTAACTTTGAGAATTAGATGCACTTGCCTTTTGAAAATGGACCTTAGCTCTTCATTGGCTTCAATTCCTATTCTCCTGTAATAAACAAGCGTATATAAACAAAAGTTTCCTTACCTCAACATAATGAAAACCCAAATACCTGTTCATCTGAAGGATGCAGGGGTGAAAAAGTTAATGCAAAAAGCATACACTGCCTTACAGGAGATGGATGAGGGCATGAGGAAGGTAGATTCAGACAACAAAGTGAAATAAAATAAGACCTAAGATTAAAACGGAACAATCTACAGAAAATGGAAAATTTCCAGCATAAGACGTTTATCGCTTCTATTCCTGAGTTCAGAAAACCATCATGATTAACCAATCCAACTACACAACTTCAGCAGATGGAAAGTGCACAACTTTTTGAAAATCTCAAAGATATAGCACAAAACAAGATGGAGACACCCTTGTTTTTCGCATATATTTTGATTGAACTTAAACCAAAGCATTCCAATCATGTCATATAATATTCAAAACAGGAGAAACTGATAAAATTAATAATAGCAAACTCTGTTAAGCTACATAAAGGAAAGGCTAAAATACACGTTACCCAATTTTTGAGCCATTCTTCCCCACAATAATCTTGCGTTGGCTTAATTTGTTAGTGATGAAGTGCTGCTCGATCCTAAGAGAACCATCTCGTAACTCTTTCCAGTCAATCAATCGATGTTCAATATCATACGGAATTTCCTGAATTGATAAATTTGCTGGTCAATATATATAATATTGTTACACAATTAGCCAAATCAAACCATATATTTCTCACAAATTTTAGCTACATATTACAAGAATGAATGGATTGGATTCAACAACTACCTGATGTACGTGGTCCAATAACCTTTCACGCACGACTTCTACTGCTATCATCTTCATAACTTCCTCACTCATGCTAAGGGGATCCTCTTCCCAGGGTCGTTGAACGGCCTATGCATAAGAAACAATAAAAAACCAAAATTAAGCGAGGATTATCAAGCCAAAGATATCGACAACTGCAAGAACTATAAAAAATGTAATTGCAAAATAACAAAAGAACACATTGCTATTTTTTTAGAAGAACTATTGAATTATTTGTTTACACCAACAAGACAGTAGAAATAGAAAGATCCATGCCTGCTCCATCAAGTACTGAGTCAAATCTTTTACACCAGCCCCCTTCAATCCTGATATCATGAAATGCCTAAATAATATTTTAAAAAAACAAGGTATTAGAAGCTAGCTTAAGAACTAGAGTCAATCCACACAAAAGTTGCCATCATACTGCAGACCATTCTCTATCCTAGTCTTTCCACGACAAAACCTTACCTTTCATATCCAGGAAGATCTTTGAACTCTTCAGCAACCTTCAACAAGTCTTTCTTTTTCTCTACTAAATCAATCTTATTCATACACAAAATTCGCCTTTGATTTAGAACCGATCGAGTTCCCATTCGTTTAATTAATTGTATCACTCTTTGATCAGGCCTGTATTAATCAAATTTTTAATAGGATGTGGTCACAATAACAATACAAAGAAAATGTGCCATCAAAACATAAAACTATAGTAAGGGAAAAAGATTAAGAGGCAAAAATATTGTGATAACAGGTTGCAATTGATTTGGCCTATTGCTAATCAAAATAATAATCTCAACAAAACAAGATCACACATTGCCTCTAATCCTCTCTTTCATGAGAGGACCAAAATTATTGTGGCAGATTGTTATTTTTTACAGGAAAAATTAAAATATAAAGTTATCACAACTAGATTTGTCAACTCTAGTAAACAATTGACTAAAATATTCACCAAGGATTGGTTATATACGACCTATAAGCTCAAGCTTGAGGAAGGTTGTTATAACTATTGAAATAAGGAATTGATCCACTTGAGATTGAAACTGTTAAATAATTCTAGAGGGCTTGAAAGATCCCTCTCACTCTCATTCTATATGTAAGAAAGTTCTGATACAAAATAGGTAGTTCTAATACAATAATGATAAATAGGGTAAATACTCTAACAATGATAAATAGGGTAAATACTCTAACAATAATAAATAGGGTAAATACTCTAACAATAATAAATAGGGTAAATACTCTAACAATAATAAATAGGGTAAATATTCTAACACTCCCCCTTAAACTAGAGTATACAAATTGTATGTACCAAGCTTGGAACAAATAAACTCAATCCAAGCATACAAATTTCTCTCTTTCCTAGTGTTTAGCGCATAAATATTTTAAAAAATTCAAAGGTATACAGAATATCCCAAA